TGTGAGAGAGTTGACAAGGAAACAAAGTGTTGTATTTGGCCTTATCATATCTGTTGTACATGTTTCTTTGTTTTAGTGATAAATAAAGTTGAGACGACTCCCGTAAAATTTTGTGTTTTACTTACCTTAATACAATCTTCTGTATACTAAGCCAAAATTGTGTGTTTCACAAATCAAAATTGTTAACTCTTGTATTGACTGGCTGAAGATTGAAAAACTCGATGCCATCGCAGATTGAACGGATCGGCTCTATGACAATTTATATCATAATATGGTTTTGTTAGATGGAAATAAAATCGGAACATTTTTGCAAAGTGTTGGGAAAATAGTAAGATGTCTGCAAGTGAAAATCTTAATATCAGGGAATTCTTGAAGATTTCGTGAGTGCCTTCATGGCAAAAAATACTGAGGAAATGAGGCAAAATCTGGACGATATGAAGCATGTTTCTGAAACTTACATTATAGAGACGAATGATAAGAGTTATGCCCATGCTCGAAGATGTAATGGTCCTATCTGAGAATGTTTCTAGTCACCTTGCACTGGAATACTGCTCTATATACCAAAGTGTTTCACCATACCAGAGTGCAAAGGAGCTTGAGAATTTTCTTTGGTATATAGTGCAGTGTTTTAATGGGATAATTGCAGTAAAGGCTCCAAACCTTTAAAATATTAGTAGCCTTTTCTCAAAATTTTAATTTGTTGCAGCCTTCACCCCAAATTTTCAAAACGTTGCGGCGGAAGCCGTTTTAGAAAATTTCCATCAATATTTGCGACCCAAAAATTAAGTTAGACCATATATTTTATATTTTAAAAGGGACAAAAAAGTAATTATTTATTAAAATAAATTTTAGTTAAATAATAAAGAACAAGGTCACTATTCACTTCTTCCCCAACCCTATCCTCCACCAATCCATGTTTTTTATTTTATTTCAACTTGTTTTAATGACAGAGAAAATAGAAACATTCTTCTTTGTTAGATAACAGATAACGAAATTCTATTATAGGATTGATCATTTCACTTTGTAGTTTAATGAAATTTCCTAGTAATCTTCCCGTTTCTATCTAAAATGGCAAAATTGCTTAAGTCCAATTATAAATTCCTTTCTCAATTAGATCTTTCCTGCAAGTTTGATATTAAAAGTCAATTGTTCTTTCAGTTACTTGAGACGAAATTTAGTTACCTTTCATATATATGGAGATTAATTCTGTAGTTATATGTGCCTTGCAATCTGGTACCTATTACGTGTTGCAGGATTCTTCTCAAACGTGATTAAAACCACTAATTGGCTTTAAGTTTTTCTTTATTTTGAATAAGTGGCACAAGCAATAATGTATTGTTACCACAAGATGGGTTGTGATGCTTTTCAAACGACCATGATGGCACGATTGTGATAAGTCAATGGAACTTTTAAGGGAACTTTGGAGTGGAGTTCCGAGCTAAAGCGACTTTGTGGTCCCCGGTTGTTACTTGGTCCCATCTCAGTCTAGATTCGTCTCTCAATCAGCCTCTAAAGATAGCATTGCTAGGAATAGATAGTCCATTTCCTATCATCCTCATCCTAGTAGTTCCTCTAGTGAGTCCCGTTCTAATGCTTCTTCCATTCAGTGTCATCACTGTCATAATAGGGGTCACATAGCTGCTCATTGTCCTCAACGTGCCCTAGCCCTAGAACATGAGTCTAGCAGCCTCACTCTCTTTGACTGCAATACATGCAATTTTCTAATTCATGATGGATGTACATTTTGATAATTAAGCGACCTTTTCTTTTTGAAAAGCCTTTTAGGCATACCAATAGCTTCTATTTGTTGTTTACATAGATAAGAAATACATGTTACGTGTTGGTCATTGTGTGAAACTATGAAGCAATCAAAAAGTATCTTCGAGCCAACTGCAAGACATCACTTCTCCATTTCTGTGATTCTATGGTCATTCTTAATTGTGAAAATTTTATGAGCTACGAAGGGAGTAAGATCTTTCAATCTATTCTCATTTTTTTTTTTTTTTTTTTTATAAACAATGAGTACAACAGCTTTGTGTACAATATATTGTGGGACAGTTTTGTTACAAAATAAATAAAGGTGGAAAAAAATTGGTACTTCCACATCCAATGAGGATTGCAGTGAAATTGGTTTGTGTTAAAATTTTAATAATGCTATGGTAAATTATTGATATTCTGAAATAACCTACATGCATATTGGTGGAAATGGAAACTTGTTGAATAAATTATGCTACAATATAATTGCTATCCATTTTAAAATTCATTTTAACCAATTGGTATTAAAAGTTATGAGAATAATGTTTCAAAGAGAAATTTTATATTTTAAACATTATATAAATGTTATAACTTAAGTTTAAAATTTTCAAAACTTCAAATTGATTTTAATTTTTAGTTTTCTATTTTAATTATCTCTTAATACATAATTAAAAACTCATAATTTATATTGTAACCTATATGGTTTAAATGTTTCCTTTCCTCCGAGACAGAGTGCAAATGTCTTAAATCTAGGAGACAAAATGAGATGAAAATGTGAATTTGATTCTTGTTAGTGTTTTAATCTTATGCATAATTAGTGGTACTTCTACTTTACTAGGTATTCTAAATATAATCAATTATTTGGTTATAATTTATTGTTATGAAAATAATATTTTGCTAATGTGTTTAATAAGAAGTTGTGGATCTAATGGTGGATGAAAATCATGAAAGTCTGGGAAACATGTGCATTAACATCTCCACACAATGTTGGATCATTTCAAAAGAAATAAATTGTAAATCGTATATTTACTCTATTCAAGCTGGATGTCTTTGGATTGTGGGAGTCTTTAAAAATTTCAAATGGATGCACCTTACATACTTTATTGTAAACTGACTTTTGAAAAGCTTTGAAATAAAATTGTAGACATGCTTGTGAAATGCAAGAGCACAATGGATGCTTTAGCTCAAACATATTACTAGAAGTCAATTTCTAAATTCATTTGTTTATATTACTTAAGAATATGATACTAATATTTTAGAAATTTTTAGAAAACACTGCAAGTGTGCAAATTGCAGGCAGAGAATAAGAGCTTATAAATATTATGGTATCAATTATTGACCAGGAGGGACATGAATAAATTGGAGTCCAACAATGACTTATATAAATCATCGAGGGAGATGGGTTAAGCCCATAATGGAGTCACCTCTAGAGGTAACCCAACACTTGTGATTAGAGATCCTATGAAGAATGTTCAATGTGGTAGAAACAACTCATACTACATGACTAAGTAATAGCACTATATTATTTGTGTTCATCACTATGATGATAATACTAATAATTATGTAATATTAGGAAGAGTTTAACCCTGAATGAGTACCGAAGTAACAATTCTCACAAGGTATGGATTATATACACTTTTTTTTTTTTTGTGGAAAGAGGGCAATACCACTGAGATGTTATTAATATACCTTCACTTGTGATGGAGGAATACCGTGGTTATATATGATATTAATGAAAGCAATAAATGAGGAAATACTATTTTCCTTACAATAAAAGTAAACAATAACTGGAAAGCAATAAAAAAAGGAAGTACTACTTCCTTTACAATAAATGCTAATGTGAACAAAAAGAATTACGCACACACCCTTGGAGGACTCACTTATATAAGAGTTGCTATGAGATAGTGGCTATGGAATTTGGATATTCCTTAGAGATTCGTACTAGAATCAAGATTAGAACGCAAAGCAATTCAGAGCGCTACTTGCTATGAATTAAAGCCTAAATCGATACTGTGTAGGACAATTGAAGTTTGGCCAAAGGGACCTAATTAAAGGCTTAGTCCATTATGGCTCCCTCAAATGAAAATTATTATCATTAAATGAGGTTCAAGTCCAAAAGACATCTACACTTATTACACAGTATAACGTTGCCACTATATATTATATATTTATCTATTTTGAAAGTTTAAAATTTATGAGGGATTGCTGAAAAGTAAATAATTTAAGTTTTAAATTTTCAAATTAATACTTTTAAATTTGTTGTTTCTATTTTAATACCAATTTAATACAAAATTAAATTAACAATATTATAGTGTAACATACATGTTAAATGACTTAATTCTCAAATAAGTGTGGAGGCTAAATTTATTTATCCCTATAAAATGGGAATGGTTTCAATGAGATGAAAGACATAACATGCAAATACAACTTGAGAACTAGAATACAACAATTTGAAGTATTATTATCTCTACACTTTTACACTATACTATTGTGGCAACTCGATAAAAGGTTCATCCATTAATTTCCCTATGATCGTGCCCATAGAAAAAGAAAAAGCTATGAGCAATATAGGTTTTATCTTAGAACGGTATAATGTCGAAAGTACCCCTACGAAGGGGTGGCAACACCACTTTTCCCAAGTCTTGCGTTTCTATCCCTTCTCTTCTTATGTTTATATTATTATTGAATTATATTATAATGTTGTCATATTATTATGTTTATGTAATAATTGTATTTGTTATTTTATTATGTTAATTGATAATTTATTTACATGCAAATCACCCATTTTCCCGACAAACTTTCCAGAAATTTTATAATATAATTATTTAAATACACTACATAATCACATTTGTGTTTATTTTGAACTCGTAACTTGTATTTTAATATATTATTCTTTCAAATTAAT